TTTCAACAATGATTTGCTTGGCTTCTACTGACTATCAAGCACCATTCTAGGCACTAGGGACTTAGCCTAGAATAGGAAGCACACAAGACATCTCCCTTCAGGGAATCTACATTTTAGAGGACAGTGAAGAGAGTTTTGTTTTGTTTTTTAATTATAGCAATGAAATATCTACAACATTTGGGCTATTTTCTAGAAAATCCAAGTGATCTAGTCCCAGTCCCCAAAAAACTTACATTCTAGTTGTGGGGATAATTTATGCGAAGATAACGAATGACAAAGATGAAATACAAGATGAATGTTAATTGGGTAGAAGAGAAAAAGAAGAGGCGTGAGAATTCATTGGTGGGCACTTTGGACTAGGAACGTCAGTAACAGCTTTCCGGGTTTGGGACAGGCTTGGGAAAAGAGGAAGTGAGTCCGGTACTACAAAGAAGGGCAATGGTCTTCTTTGCCAAAGCAAAGTAAAACTGTGTGAGACTTGTTGGGAGAACAGAAAATTCTCCCCTCCTGCTAACCTGTTCTCCTCTTCCTCTTGTCACCACTTTCCATCTAATCATTCAACTCAAGTTCCAGACTCATCGAGAGCCCCTCTCTGCTTCCTGGAAGCGATCAGCCTCTTCAGATCCCACAGATGCTGTCTCCTTCATAAGCCCTCACTCACTCATCTCTAATGCCATGATCACTGCATGCATTTCTGAGCCAGGCTACTGGAAAGGCTCACCTCTACCATCTCCTCTCATCAACCTACTTTCCAACATGCTGTCGGAGATCTTTCCAAAAGCAAATTCAATCCTATCACTCTTTTCCTTGAAATCTTTCAGGAGCTCCAAATCACATACACAGTAAAATCCAAAATCCTTAAACTGTGGGTAACGGTCTTCACGGTGCAACCCCTCCCTGGCTTCCCAGTTTGGTGATGGCGCCCTTCCACCACAGGTGAATCCCAGATTCTCCAGATCTCTATGTGGCTGCACCTGTCTGATCCTTCTGAGAAGCTACCTGCCATTCTCTGCCCACAACTGTGTACATTCCTCAAGAATGGCACTTGCTGCAAATAATTGGTTCCGGGGAACCTACCTCTCCATGGCCAGAGGCTGCAGCTTACTCATTTTTAGTCACCCAATACCCAGCCCAGCACCTAACCCTGTACCTAGCACAGCACGTTTGCTCTATTAATGTTGATAAAGCAAAACTGGGGCTACGACAAGATTTGCAGGTGATTAAACACAAAGTAGGTAGTGAGGTGATAGAGATTGTGCAGGAAGACAGTGAAAAAGGAGCCAATAAAAACAACAGAGCGGTGCAGCTGAACCATTATCTCCCGGAGGTAGCAGGCCTCTGCCCACTCCCCCTCCCCTACTCTCACCCCAGTGACAGGACCATTAGCTGTGGGGATCAGACAGTAAACTCTTCCGTAAACAGACTGGGAATGCAAAACCACCAACCACCTAAACCAAAGACTTTTTGCCTGAACTGACTTGTTTCTATAACCCCCTTCTTTTGTAAGAACACTTTTCCTCTCTCAGTAAAGTCTGAGCATGGAAATGCAAGAAACAAAATAAAACAACATACTAAATATAATAGCTACATTCTGGCTACAAAAGATGTTTCCATCGCTTTCTACGTCAGCAGGAAGAGATGGTGAATGCAATCCACTGATTATTTTGGGAGCTGCGGAATGCGCTCCTGGGGGCAGCTAAGGACCCTCTCCTGCACCCCAGGCACAGGGTGCCCGCCTTGGCACATGACCTCCACCTGCACCCCTGCCACAGGGGCTGCAGGCCAAATAGTTCCTGCAGCTCCCTCTGTGGTTGGTTGGTGAAGCTCACAGAGAAAATAAGTGGCCTTTTGCAAAAATGCTCTCATGCCAACGGGCTGCCTCATTCGCAAACCTTTGGGCATAATTTCTGGTGGCCGTGAATCAAGCAAATATGGAAGAGATGCCCGTGGTGAGATTTACCATCTTTGATACTCTAGATTGGTTCCTGCCAAACAAGGAGGCAATCTTTTTGCCTGAAGTACTACACAGTTCTTCGAAAGCAAGCAGAAACTTACTAGATTAAAAAAAAAAGAAGCCCCCAAGTCCCAGTCTAGTAGAGGGCACCCTTTCATATGTGTGTGTAAAATACCTCTGTGATGTAACCAGGGACTACATCTAGTTTAAAGTTTTTCTTTTTGTCTCTTGCAAATTAGCTGATGATAGATGTTTTATCCAGGCACTTACGTCAAATCATTCTCCTGCTCTGAATTATGAAGTTGCTATTTATAAGGAGAGTTCATAGAAATCTTTAGTACCTGAGTGGGTTTTAAATTATTATACAACTGTTAGTAGTGACCACCATGTACTAGGAGAAATATGTTAGTCAACAGCTTTAACACAGCCCTGTGTTACAAAACTAGAGGCAGAGGTTAAAATTATAATCTTCATTTCACCAGAGTTTCCTTTCCCATAGTTGGAAATTATAATTACTTCATAAAAGGCTGTATGCCATCAGCCTACTTCTGGTAACCTTTTAAAAGACTTTTTTTTTTTAAAGTTACGATTGTTATAATGACAAACTTTCCATTGGCAGGGTAAACATTTGCTTTAGATATACAATCAATGCAACCCACATTAAATTCATATAGCAACCAAAAATTGATGAGACATATTGATATTTGTTGTCTGAGAGAAAATATGTTGAATTGATCCCTAGACACACTAAAGTATTCATATCAGTAGCCAAAGGAGGGTAGGATGAAGGAGGAATAACAATATTTCACTTTTTCTTAAATATACCTACACTTTGACTTGCTAGAACCAGTATAGACTACACCTGCAATTATAAATAAAGAGCCTCCTGCCACACACTTAATAAAAAAATATATGATGCCACATGATCATGTAAGCACAGACCAGGCCAAGCCTGTTTTCTTTCTAAACTGAGATCTACTGACAGCACAGGAAGACAGACAAAGCTCAGAATGTTTATTTCCATTTGGGTTTTTGCCATTATCTATTTACCATATTCAGTATAAATAGTGACGCCTCACCATAACTGACAAGACTATTTTCCAATGAAACAGGCTGCTAATTTTATAACAACTTTTTAAAGTTTGCTATGATTTATATTTTTATGTAATCGTGATTTACTATTAAAGCCTGCCAATAGCATTACACATTACCTGAGAGCAGGAGTCACCAGGTGAAAAGTGCATCAATCTGTGCGGGTGTCACAAATCAGAAAACCTGGGTCTGAACCTTAACTAGCTGTGTGAGAAGCCAGCAGATGAGGGCATCGTGGAGTAAAACCCCTCTATTCAATTTGTCCCTGGTCAAGAAGTGAGCAAGTTCTAGGAATTTAAATGAGTAGCGACTACAATAGCCAAGATAGAAAAGCAATTTAATTGGTTACAGATGGATAGAGATATGAGCTATATCTCTAACACATGCACACAAACACATGTATGGTATAATAGTATTCAGCCACGAGAAAGAAGGAATCCTGCCATTTATGACACCATGGCTGGAACTTGAGGGCATTATGCTAAGTGAAATAAGTCAGGCATAGAAATACAAATACTGCATGTTCTCACTTATGTGAAATGTAAAAGAGATGAACTCAGAAACAGAATGGGAAGGGATTGGGAAATGTTGGTCAAACTTCTAGTTATGAGTAAGTTTTGGGGATCTCATGCACAGGACAGTGATTACAATACTATGTCAATACACTTTAAAGATGCTAAGAGAGTAGATCTTAAATGTTCTCACCACAAAAGAAGGCTACGTAGTAATCATTTTGCAACACATAAAAGTATCAAATCAATACATGGTACACTTCAAACTTATACAGTGTTACATGTCAACTATACCTCAGTAGAAAAGGGGAAAAATAACAAATACATAAGCAGTGCCTAGACTGTGAAAGGAAGGAAAAACCACACCTAACCCCTAAAATTGTTACTTTCTAAAGTTATTACAGACGAATAGGGCTTTAGAACATGAACAGGAACTGTTATAGTTTAAAGTGATCTGTCATCCAGGAAACTGAGGCGGAGTCTGTTGAACAGATCGGCGTGGTCATTTAATTGCCAGTCTTGTGCAGGGACCCCATGCCATCGCTCCTTAACAGTGTTCTCTTTAAAAACCTAATTTTTCTCACTACGCTCGTGATTGCTTTCCCCTCCTTCGCCTCCTCCCACCCCTTCGGTTTGTTCTTTTACTGTTAAACATCTCTTCCTCCGTTCCTTTTACAATTTCTATGGCTTTTTAACTCTAATTAGCAATGGGCTTGCCCCACCCCCAAGCTCCAGGGGCCTTCTGGACTCGTAGGAAATGCCTGCGGTCCGCCCTACCTAAGGGCTTCCTCCTCTGCTTACCACCGCGCGGGCTCTGCGGAGGAATAAAGGCTGCCGGCCCGCGGCCACAAATCAGTTCCCCGGGCCGCCCCACCCGGTCCCAATCCTGCCTCCCAGAGCCGCTTCCACCTAAAGATGATTCAGGTGGGTCACACCCTCGCTCTCCCACCCGGGCCGGCTCCCCCCGCCCAGCCCACGGGCGCGCCGCCCACGCCGGCTCTGCGGAATCCCCAGCGCCTGTTCGAGGCAGAGAAAATGATCCAAGAGTTGTTGTTTGAGTCACGACTCCCCGCGCGGCGACGACCCCCTGTCTCCAGAGAGTGTTCAGCAGCGGCGTCCTCCCCCGTCCCCCAAACTGTCCTGGGGCCCCCGCGTGCCCCGCGCCGCCCTGGCCTTCCCGGGGGCGAGCCCAGCCGGGGAGGCGGCGCGGCTCGGCGGCCCGAGGCGGCCGCATTGCGGCCCCCGGACGGCGGCGCGGGCTTCCTGCTCCCCGCCCGGGGAGCCCTTCTGCGCCCCTCGGGGCGGCCGCAGGTCCCCGCAAACCTGCCTCGCGCCCGATGCGGCGCCCACGCGCAGTCCCCAACTTCCTCCCGCGTGGGCCGGGGCTTTGGGTGTGGACGTGAGGGCCCGCGCCGGCCCGACCCAGGGAACCCGTCGCTCACCGATATCTCCATCCTCGTCGTCGTCCTCCTCCAGCTCCATGTCTAACAAAATGTCTTTGGTCATCATTTGCATGGCTCCCCCGAAGGCGGCTTCGAACTTGGCGCGAAGTTGGGTCTCCCGGGTTCCGGAACGACGCGGCTCTCGCGGGCCCGGCGGCCGGGTGGGGACCGCGGGGCGGGTCTCGCTCCCGGCTCAGGGGCCGCTGCGCCCAGCCCGCGCTCCGGGAAGCCCAGCCGAGGCGGCCGCCGACACAAACCCGGCGCCCAAGGCTACCACTCGCCACTGAGCATGCCCAGTGCGAGATGCCGCTGGCAGCGGAGTGATTAACTTCCCCCGGTTTGTGAGGCGCGCAGAAGGAAGTCGGGAGACCGAAGGGGGACTGGGCGCTCGCCTTCGGCACACGAGTGGCCGCGCAGAAGGGCGAGGCGAGAGCACAGGGGGAAGGGAGTGGACGGGGCTCCCCAAATGCAGCCGCCAGACGAGGCAGCTTTCTGTTCTACGGCCAATTATAGATACTTATATGGGACTTGCTTTCTTTGAAATCTATTACTGGAGAGAAGAAAACGCTGCTGTGACTCACGCTGAGAGCCCTGAAGATGAGCCCATTAGGACCGTGCTTAAAGGCGACGTGGAGCCAATGGAGGATCTTAAAGGATCAATTTCTTTGGCTCTAAGGAGCGAACGAGTATTCTGTAGGGAAGAGGGGGAGGGGGAGTACTGAGAAAAGAGGCAAAACCCGTAAATAATTTTTTTAAAAAACAAGACAAAAAAGCGAGATCTAAGAAAATAAGTTCACAAAAGACAGGAGGATTTCCGCATGAAGTGAGGTTAAAGAGAGAGAAGCGCCCCCTACCCCTCGCCCGCTGAACACGCACAGGGAGTGGTCGAACGTAATCACCCGAGTATGCAGCCCGTTTGGACCTTGTAAAGCTGTTTCCTATGCGTCAGAAAGGCAAAAGAAACCAAAGACCTCCACCTTGTAAGCTAAACAGTGTGAAAAACTATAATAACTGAGGAAACAAAGTACTGAAATAAAATTGAGGCACAGAGTAAAACAATGCATTCCTGGAGACCAAAGAGAACAATAGGATGAATCCAAAGCGATTTCTATTTTGAACACACATGGAATAGTTGGAAATGCAGGTTCCTAGCATCGTACATCTGCAGAACTTTTTTCAAAAAGGCTGGTGAATTTAGATGGGTACTCTTGTACTTCTCAAAAGGGCTCGAGGTATATTTGAAGTTCTTGCTTTATTCATTGTCTAACACGTACTGAAACTTTTTATATGTTTTCCACTGAAGTACCAGAATTATTATGATAATTACAATAACACTAAGACTACCATGCATTTTATTTTCGCATACACATATTTTTGATGTTTTTTTAATGTGAAATAACACATTGAGATTAATCACAAGTGGGAAACAGCCATGAGTATGCATTTCAAGACATCAGGAAATTACTTTTAAGAAAATATCCAGGAAACACTATACTTACTTCTTAAAGAACCTTTCTGAATAAAGAAAATTGCTTTTACTATAAAGAGAAAACAGTACACTGAAGATGGTGGGGGTTGGGGAGGAGAAAAGATGGAAGAATACAAAAGAAAAAAAATGAGAAGGAGAAAAAACTTTTAGTGAACTCTCTCCCCAGTGCTTGTGGGACCTACTGTAATAGAAATTGCAGAGCTATTTTGGTTACGTGACCCGTTTTCACAATTTTCATTTAAGAAGTATGTATACAGTGCTTTTTATGTGCTCAGCGCAGTTTTAACTGTTTTACATTTAGTTCCTTAATACTCATAACAACCCTAGGAGTCGTTACCACTCTTTTACTGATGCGCAGTGCAATTGAGCAACCTCCAGAATCACATACAGAGTAAGTGGCAGGGCTGGGATTCAAACCCAACCAGCTTGTTCCAGAATCTATATTCTTAATCACATTATAAACCACCTCCAGAGACCTTTCTAAATCCATTTTTAAAAAAACAAAACAAAACAACCCCCCCCCCAATTGAAAACTCTCAAACTCTCATCAACTCCCTGCCACAGTTCTCTCACCAAATGGTCTGATTTTTATGGCCTAAGACTTTGCTCAAAGTTAATTAGCAGTTAGAAAACTCTTGTGGTTGATTTTGCAAAAGGTTTCAATGAGTCATCTAAAATTCCTCACAATCTTAGAGCTTACATTTTTCTTGCTTGATAAATGTTGCAGAAACACACTGCTGGCCTTGTGAAAAGGTGCCTGTGGCTGGAACGGAAATGAATTATTTACTTTGGTTGGCTGTGAGTCTATTATTAGTAAACTCCATTATTTCATTTAACCCATTTTATTTCTTACAGCTTCTCTCGTGCATTTTTTTCCCCCACTGAGTAATATATGCTTCAAAAATAATCAAGGTAGTAGGCTTTTATAAGAACCACACCTATGAGCCTGAAAAATTATCATCTATATCATGAATAGTTTGTGAAATAAAATGTGCTGTGGCCAAGTCAGAGATCACAGACCAAGAATTTTCTCTTTCACTGGTCTTCTGATTAGTTACAACCTCTGGCCATAGGTTGTTCTTTCTCTGCCCATCTCTTAAATCTTGGTGCTTCTCTGACTTCAGTCCTCGGGCCCCTTTTCTTATCTCATAACTATACCACCTGTTCCAGGCAGGGTCAGATTCATAGGCATTCAAACAGTTAATTCACAGAAGGTGTTTGAGGTCTTACTGCTCTGTGGTTGCTGGCTTGAAACTATTAATAACGTTACCTTTGAACTTTTCTTTTGTAAGTGAAATTCAAAGAGCCAGTGCAGCTTGTCTGAGTTCACACTCAGTCCTGCCTCCTTGGGGTAGGTTCTCAGGGCCAGCCCTCCCATTCCCTGGAATCTCAACCCTGCCCATTCTCCCCTCTGCCCCACTCTGGACCAGGATGACCGGGACTCGGGGGCACCTATACTAGGGCACAGGGAAGGTCAGGATCATGTATATGTTCCCAAGGTATGTTAGGGCAGGGCATGGTGGCAGCTGTCCCTGCCCTAGACTGGCAGTGCCACAGTGGGCCCAGTGGGTGGAGATGAGCCTCTTGCCCAGCCCTATTACAGTGAACCCTGGCAGGGAAGTGGCGATCGCTTGGACTGTGCCCCTCCAACATAGTTTGGAGCATGAAGTCCAAGGGAAGAGGAGATACCTGGCTCAACTTCTCCACCCTCAGCCAGAGTACGGTCTGTCAGTTCTACAAAATGCTGGGAAGGGTCCTGGCAGCTGGTGGACAGCATATGGCCTTTGAACAAGGGACCCTCCTTCTTCATTTTGCATTGGGCCCTGCAAATTGTATAGCTGGCCCTGATTCTAAGATCTGTATTTCTAGTCCAGATCTGTCTTCTGTTAACAAATGGTGTATCTGCTTGCATGTTAGATATCTCCACTGGATATTTGTTAGACATTTCAAGTTTTGCTTATAATCTCTTCCCAAAACTTGTTTCCCTAAATCCAGGAATGGCACTATTTACTCAAACCAATAATTTGAGAATCATTTGACTCCTTCTGCTCTCCCTTATCTTTTAGATCCAATCAGTTACTAAACATGGTTATGTCTACCTCCTGGATATCTCAAATGTGTCCTATATTTGTTATCTGTTCTTGCGTTGCTATATAACTGCATGGCATGACATTTTAGTAGAGACCTGAGGAAGTAAGAGATTAAGACATGCAACTATCTGAAGGAATGGAGTTTTAGGCAGAAGAGAAAGGAAATGCAAAAGTCCCAAGGAGAACAAGCAAAAGTCGTAGCAGCTGTAGCATAATAGGTTACCCCCAAATTTAGCAGCTTGGAGCAAAAATAAACATGTATTATATCACACAGTTTCTGTGGGTCAGGAATTTGGGAGCAGCACAGTCAAGGGGTGTTGGGGACCACTTTGTGTGATATCGGAAATTGTAGCCCTGCGGGAATTGAAAAAGGGCCTGTAAGTCTCAACCAGAAAACTGGGAATGCTGGGAGGCAGACATGATCCAATGCTAACACTCAGGGTTCCCGTGGGAAATCTGGCCTAAAGAATGCACTGTATCCACTGAAGCTTGCTCTGCTTTGCATTGCCCTGATAAGAAAAACTAGATGTTTAAGCTCCAAACAGAAGGAGTGAATTCCTGAATTCAGGAGCCAAACCTTAACGGATCATCTGACATCGACATGTCTAACAGACCCAGACCTGAGGCAAATCTTTGTGTTCCTTCCATTGTTATCTATGATCTCTATCTGTTTTCTATAAATATAGCCTTTAGGCGTTGATTGATAAGATTTGTATGCATGCTGTATACCCGTGCCCAGATTGTTCTCAATAAAAGCCACTTCAGAGACAGGCTCCAGGCTTTCCCCACTACAGGAAATCGCCATGCCTGCCCCTTTCCTTGGCAGACAATTGGTGTCTGGAATGACTCATTATTTCATCCGCGGTGGTTCAAAGGACTCTGCTGGACGGGGTCTGCCACAAAGGGGCTCTGGCTGAAAGCTTGATAGGCTTCAGATTGCTCCTAAGCTAGTTCACTCTCAAGGCAGCTCACTCTCAAGGGGCACTGTTCCTCCTATGTGGGCCTGTCCACCGGCTGCTTGAGCATCTTCATGACACCATGCTGACTTCCCCCACAAGGAACCATCCAAGAGAGTGGGCAAGGCGGAAGCCACAACATTCTTTATGACCAAGGTTTGGAAGTCACACACCATCGTTTCTGCCTTTCGTTACACAGGTGAGTCAACTCTACTCAGTGTGGGAGGGGCGTATACAGGAACATGAATACCAGAGGCAGGGATCATCGGGAGCCCGCTTGGAGGCGGGCTGCCACACACCTCCATTATCACTGTTTTGATACATACCACTGCTAAACAACAGGCCAAAATGGATCACCTTTGGTAAGCCACCGTTACCAAACCAAAACTCAATAACTAACCCAATTGCAGTTGCAGCCTCTTCCTGGAGTGAAATTTTAAACCAGTCTGGAATTTCCTAATGAGCACTTGTGAGGTAATCTGCCTGATTAGACCCGCTACCTTCTCCTAAAAGAAGGTCTCCTTGCCTGAAATAACCCACTCGTTTAACTTTGTATCCTTCCTTTGTTCTGCATGTAAGGATCTTTCATTTTGTACAACTCTTTGGAGCACTTTTCTAGTTGCTAAATGGGATGTGCCCTGATTCATGAATTGTTTAATAAAGCTAATCGTATCCTCAAATTTACATGGTTGAATTTTGCACTTAAGCGCTACCACCACTCTTTATTCTTAGTTACTAAAAACAAACTGTATACTGGCCACCTTTCTGGGTGTTGGGGATTCAATAGTAAAAACAAAAAACAAAGATAGAAAACACCGCCCTTACAACTTTCCATTC